GGAATATCTTTGCCTGCGTCTGTTAGCAAAATATAACACAATTAAACAAATTTTAATCTAACAAAATCAAAAATCAATTAAATTATTCACGATGTTTGCAACTTGTGGAGTCAGCCAGATTCACAGCCAACTTTCCTTCTAAAACACACACAAAAAAATCTATATTTATCTAAATTGCAGTATATTGTTAGCTAAGAATGTAAAAATATTATTAAATTTTGTTGTAATAAAAGTGAAGTGCTCTGTTAAGAAAATATGGAACAACAGGGTTTTTTTAATTTAGGATTGAACGTGGTTGTCAACTGCGTTTCAAATTAGACTGACGCGGCTTCCGTAGTAGTGGAGCGGAGTGACGCAGAAGCGCTGTACAGCTAGATCATTTCGACAGTCAAGATGGCGACATCGGAGCCGGTAAGCGACACAAGAAACTGATGAAAAATCTATTAATGCGCAGGATAAGACTCATCACGTTTTTTCTTTATTCCCAGGCCTCACTCCACAAAGTGACCTTTTATGAAATGACATTAGTAGATTCTAAAAATAATGGTGTTTGAGTTCAAAGACACTGGCGTGGATTAGCGTTAGCATGCAGTGCAATGTGATGGATGAAGCGCTGCCTGACTTTGTTGGTAGGGAGGGACTGACTGACTGGACGTCGTTCATTCAAACTCCACTTAGTGATTTCTCTAACTCGTTTTCGACATTGGAGTCAAAATCTAGTGGTGTTTCTAATAAGTACCTTTAAATGTCCTTATTGGTACATTTTCCACCAGTTTTTGACAACCTGGACACGTGTGTTTCGAGCTTGTAGCTAGCCTAGCACGGCTGCTAAAACTATGCTAGCAAACGTAGTTGAAAAGTTAGCTTTGGCTTGGCTTCTTCCTGATTTTTTTGGTGAGAAACTTAAAGTTAGCTGTTCTCTATTGGCTGTTTCTGATTAAAATTGAGTTGAGAAACTTCATGCTAACATACTTGAGAAACGTTTCGATGTTAAATGTGTGTTACTTTATATGCAATATGTTGTACATGAGAAAAATCTGTTGTAAAAGCGTGTGTGTTATCCCTTCAGGTTAATAGATTTGCCACTCTTGTTATAATTAGTATTATAAGCAGTAGTATTTAGAGATACTTTGAGGTTATTTCAGGTGATGGGCAACATCCTGTTAGTAGCAGAAAAAACGAATTGCCTCATCTTTTAAAACTGCCTATGCATTTTTCCATCTTCTTAGCACAAAATGCAGAGGAACCAGGGTGTGTCACAACAGGTTATCTCAGGGCACTCTTCAAATTCAAAACATTTACATACAATATATATCATAAAACTTCCATTAGTAAATGTTATTTATAGAAGCCAGAAGAATTGAATGGTATCAAAAAAAATTGATGCCCTCAATCTTGACTTTTATTTATATGTTGATTGTGTTGTTAATTGATTAATCCTGTTGCTGTCTGTGGTGCTGAAAACTGCAAACTTTTACTTGAATGCACATAGGGTGTGTATGCTGTATGAAAGCCATAGATTAGGAGTGCCTTATTTAACAGTGGTAAGAAATTTACCTCTCTTTGCATGGAGTCTGTGGCACCTACTTGCGATATGAGTGACAATTTGATAAAAGAAAAAGTTCAGAGTTAATTTACAGCTGTTTTTCCTCTTTTTTTACTTCAAAGGCTCTATGCACTCAATGATTCCAAAACAGTTTCGTTTTTTTGAAAATGAAACTGGCCATTCAGGATTTAGAGGTCATGAAAGGTTGAAAATTAGGAAGCAAGTCCTGCATTACGTACGTAACATCATAAATAGATCGCACAGAGTGTGACAAAATTTCTCAACGTATGTTCAAGCCAAAGAAGAAAAGAAACTAGATAAAATATTTAGATATGTTTTCAAATGATATGGGGGTCTAGGCATTATAAACGAGTGACTGAAACTCACCTGGTAACAATGACGCACTGTGCGAGTTGGACATTGCATTTAGCAAAGTGTGTGAATATAGTTCCAATAAATGTCCTGTTAAGCAGTAATTTATGTGATTTTGTTGTGTGTTTTCTCTCCAGAAAGCAGCTGAAACTGAAGATCAACAGACTGACGGACAGGTTGTTGCAAATCCTGAGCAGTATATTAAACATCCTTTGCAAAACAGGTGAGCAAATTATTGTCATTTAGATAATAATCAAAATAAAATGGAATGCAGTTTCAAGAAATTATTCTTATTTAGATAAAACTTGAATTATTTTGCAAGTGTGTTATTGGTTGTCACATTTTTATTGCGGTTCTGGTAATTTACAAACCAGGCACTTGTTCTTACACGGTGGCTCAGTTGGTAGAGCTGATGCCTCTCAGCAAGAAGGTCACCGGTTCAAATCCCGGTCCGGGTACCTTTCTGGGTAGAGTTTGCATGTTCTCTCCGTGCATGCGTGGGTTCTCTCCGGGTACTCCGGCTTCCTCCAACAGACCAAAAACATGACTGTTAGGTTAATTGATAACTCTAAATTGTCCCTAGGTGTGAGTGAGAGAGTGAATGGTTGTTTGTCTCGTTTGTGTCTATGTGTGGCCCTGTGATGGACTTGCGACCTGTCCAGGGTGTACCCTGCCCCTCGCACTGTGACTGCTGGATATGGGCACCAGTGACCCACGCGACCCTGAAAAGGAAGAAGCGTGTACAGAAAATGGATGGATGGATGGATGGCACTTGTTCTTAACCTTTTCTAATTCCCATCATTCCCCCTCAGTTACAACTGGTTTGTTTGGTCGGGATTTGGAAGAGTTAGCCTTTGTTTAAATTTTTGACAGTGTTTAGTGACATGTGAGAGTGGGGGGGTTGAATGAATTCAGCAGTAAGTTGCCACATTGTTTACCATATTTGTTTGCAATGCCTGCAACCTATGTGGGGTCACCGGGGTCATGACTGAGCGTAACTCTGTGTTGGGTAATGATTTGTGTCTGTAGAGCTGCTAAAGGGCACAGATGGAGTTAAATCTACTGATATGGTTTTATTATTGTCTGTGTGTATTTATGGAAGGTAGTTGAGGTTAATGTTACAGATGTTTGTGGTTGGGGGGCACTGGGTTTGCCTGATGAACCCTCTTTGACCTGAGCCGTCCTCTGCTAACCCCACCCCTCCTGGAAACGAATGAAAGAATAAATAACCCCATTGTAAACAAAGGCTGCTTTTCTGGTGCTGATGATGGCCAATCCTTTTCTTTAGCACTGACAGGTTTGCTTTTGTAATTAGTTTAGCTGTGAGCTGAGGTTTGTCCCTTTTCACACATTGTCAACTCAAAACCTGTTTAGATTGCTTTATTCCCATGTAAATGAGTTTTGTGAAATAAATGAGGAATGTGTTTTTTTCCCCCCTTTCCTCAGATGGGCCTTGTGGTATTTTAAAAATGACAAAAGCAAAAGCTGGACAGAGAACTTGCGTTTAATTTCCAAGTTTGACACAGTGGAAGACTTTTGGGCGTAAGTTTATTTTTCTGTTTAATCCAAATAGTTATTTGTTGTAATTAAAGAAGAAAATGGATAGATGTGTGCACTTTACTGCAAAACTCTTAATTTCATTTAATTAATTTAACATTACAAATAAATAGAGATATGTGGGGCAAATTTTCACCCCCCACAGACATTTTGAACATATTTTAAAGCTAAAATAAGTTTAGTGAGAAGCATAGATTTTGTACTGTTTACGTTATTCTGATTTAAGGCAAAAGAAATCAAATATTTATATTTGTGTGTGTTTCTGAGTTTAGTATTTCTGTATTGAAAATGTGATGTTTTGTGTTGCAGGTTATACAACCACATACAGCAGCCAAGCAAGCTTGGTTATGGCTGTGATTATTCCTTATTTAAGGTAAGCCTTTCTCCGTGTTATTTATTTTTCTTTAGTAAAAGAGAGTTCAACATGTATTAATTTAACAGCTTTCATTTAAACGGTTCTCAGCCATTTATTCAATCTTTAAGGATAAAAAAAACTTTAGATTTTTACGATTGCTTCTTTTTTTTTCTTCAATTATGAAGCCAGACTAACTGACTGTCAAAACTGATGTTAAACTGCTGTGTGGATGTACCGCTTCTCTGAAGTTTGTGTTTTTCTTTTACTTAGTTATTGGTGCTATTTTTATGTATTTATTGTTATTGAAGTATTGTTTTTGTCTTTGCTGTACTGCAGCTTTGTCCCTGTTTTCTGAGACACATTTCTTTTACAGGAGACAAATAAATTATCTTATCTTAAAAACATCTCCAAATTCAATGTGAAACTACAACCAATGCTTTGACTTTGTTGTCATTTTAACGTAATAAGAACAAATAATTGTAAGGGCTTTTGAATACAAACATTGTTTTTTTATGTCAGCATTTTTCTGTGTTTAAATTATCTTTAAGGAGACAAAATGTTCACTTAATTTTGCTGTGTGTGCAGGATGGGATCAAACCAATGTGGGAAGATGAAAGAAACAAGCTGGGGGGTCGATGGTTGATAACCCTCAACAAACAACAGAGACACAACGATCTTGATCGCTTCTGGATGGAAACAGTGAGTCTGCCGTTTTTGCTTTTTCATGGAATGACTCGACATCCTCAGTGTACCTGGGGCAGGAAACTAGGATAAGAGATTAAGCCAGGATTTTTGGTGTAATCCTGGATGAATTAATCCTTTATTCGGTTGCACAAAAGAAGAGGCACATGTTTGAAGCTGGACGTAGGGTTTATTGGCAAAAAAATTAATCGCGATTAATTGTGGTATTTAGCCAATAACGATTAATTTGACGATTAATCCCCTGGACTACCTGGACACACGTATTCCGTGATCACATGACCAATTTAGTGGGAAAGATTTGATCTTTGTAAAAAATAGTTCCAAATTGTGTGAAAAATTACAGATTTCAGGCTATACATCATATTTTAAATTGTGTTGATGGATGAATAAATTACAGAACTTTATTTTTAATGTTCATCATATTTGAAGCGGCGAGGAGCACCGAGCGGACTGACCGGAGTAATCCCCAGTCAGTCTGCATGGTGGCATTAATCATATTAATTGTCAAGTGCCAAAAAGTAATTGATTAATGTTTTTCTGACGGTTAATTGCACACGATACGATTATGCCCAAACCTAGCTGGACATTGCAAATTTCTCACTTAATTTGATAAGATTCAGATTATAGTCTAGTATTTACAGTGGGGAAAATAAGTATTTAGTCAGTCACCAATTGTGCAAGTTCTCCCACTTAAAAAGATGAGAGAGGCCTGTAATTGACATCATAGGTAGACCTCAACTATGAGAGACAAAATGTGAAAAAAAAATTGAGAAAATCATTTTGTCTGACTTTTAAAGAATTTTTTTGCAAATAATGGTGGAAAATAAGTATTTGGTCAACAACAAAAGTTCATCTCAATACTTTGTTGTATATCCTTTGTTGGTAATGACAGAGGTCAAACGTTTTCTGTAAGTCTTCACAAGGTTGGCACACACTGTTGCTGGTATGTTGGCCCATTCCTCCATGCAGATCTCCTCTAGAGCAGTGATGTTTTGGGGCTGTCGGCGGGCAACACGGACTTTCAACTCCCTCCAAAGGTTTTCGATGGGGTTGAGATCGGGAGACTGGCTAGGCCACTCCAGGACTTTGAAATGTTTCTTACGAAGCCACTCCTTTGTTGCCCTGGCAGTGTGCTTGGGATCATTGTCATGCTGAAAGACCCAGCCACGTTTCATCTTCATTGCCCTTGCTGATGGAAGGAGGTTTGCACCCAAAATCTCACAATACATGGCCCGATTCATTCTTTCATGTACACGGACCAGTCGTCCTGGTCCCTTTGCAGAGAAACAGCCCCAAAGCATGATGTTGCCACCCCCATGCTTCACATTTGGTATGGTGTTCTTTGGATGCAACTCCGCATTCACTTTCCTCCAAACASGACGAGTTGTGTTTTTACCAAATAGTTCTACTTTGGTTTCATCTGACCATATGACATTCTCCCAATACTCTTCTGGAACATCCAAATGCTCTCTAGCAAACTTCAGACGTGCCTGGATATGGACTGGCTTAAGCAGGGGGACACGTCTGGCACTGCAAGATCTGAGTCCCTGGCGTCGTAGTGTGTTGCTGATGGTAGCCTTTGTAACATTGGTCCCAGCTTTCTGCAGGTCATTCACTAGATCCCCCTTGTGGTTCTGGGATTTTTCCTCACCGTTCTTGTGATCATTTTGACCCCACGGGCTGAGATCTTGCGTGGAGCCCCAGATCGAGGGAGATTAGTAGTGGTCTTGTATGTCTTCCATTTTCTGATTATCGCTCCCACAGTAGATTTCTTCACACCAAGCTGCTTGCCTATTGCAGATTCAGACTTCCCAGCCTGGTGCAGGTCTACAATTCGGTTTCTGGTGTCCTCYGACAGCTCTTTCGTCTTCACCATAGTGGAGTTTGGAGTGTGACTGTTTGAGGTTGTGGGCAGGTGTCTTTTATACTGTTAACGACTTCAAACAGGTGCCGTTAATACAGGTAATGAGTGGGGGAAAGAGGAGCCTCTTAAAAAAGAAGTTACAGGTCTGTGACAGCCAGAAATCTTGCTTGTTTGTAGGTGACCAAATACTTATTTTCCACCATTATTTGCAAAAAAATTCTTTAAAAGTCAGACAAAATGATTTTCTCAAATTTTTTTTCACATTTTGTCTCTCATAGTTGAGGTCTACCTATGATGTCAATTACAGGCCTCTCTCATCTTTTTAAGTGGGAGAACTTGCACAATTGGTGACTGACTAAATACTTATTTTCCCCACTGTATAAACTTGTTTTAGATGGCTGACTTTTGCCGTGTTTGATTAGAAATCAGTGTTTTATACGTTCCCATGAACATATCTGCCTCATTTTTTACTTTGTATTAAAGTATCACTGAAAAAAAACTTAGCTTCAAATGTAATTCTCACAGCATGCACACACACCCTCTTCATCCCCTGTACCTTCTCTGCTGACCCCCTCACTTAACCACACAATCCACAATTAACCGTTACACCACTGGAGAGAAGTGAGACTTGCATGTCTTGTTGCGCATGTGTAATCAGGAAATTTCTCTATCCAGTGGGTCTAATAAGCAAAGCATGAAGGTGCAGTCATCCTAAATGATTTACAGCTGGCTTGGATAAGCCGACCCGTTTGAGCATGGCTTGGTGTTTAAGCAACCGGTACGTCAGTTTAGAAGGTTTGTTCAAGCGCAGCTTACAGCCGATGTCCTTTATGTATAAATCTGACTTTTGTGAAACGAGCCTCCGGTGCTTTAGAGAACACAGTAAAAACAAAATGCTGCGTTGTGTGTTTTGCAGCTCCTGTGTTTAGTTGGCGAGTCTTTTGACGAGGCAAGTGAAGACGTGTGTGGAGCTGTGGTCAATGTCAGACCTAAAGGTGACAAAATCTCCATCTGGACGAGCAACTGCCAAAACAGGGAAGCCATCATGACGATAGGGTAAGCTCCTTCGTTTCTGACCACTAGGTGGTGACCTGAGTCACAAGTCTTCTCCAGCATTCAGTTTTTATTTCATGTCTCCACAGTCAACTTTACAAGGATCGTCTGAGCATCTCCATGAAAGCCGTGATCGGCTACCAGTCGCACGACGACACGTCCAGTAAGAGTGGATCCACCACCAAGAACATGTACTCCGTTTGAAAAACTTTCCCCTCATTTCACCTCGCTGTAGATTTAAACAATTACCAACCTGCATCACATTAACATTTACGTTGTCGACTATTATAGTGTCCTTTCCTTTTATTGCAAAGAGAGTTGTTAATAGCGTGTACAATTGAAGCTTCCCTCCATGTAACTGGAGCGATTTGAGCTGAGGCTTGGGCTCGAGCTGATGTCTTTAATGAGCAAGAGAACATAAATAATTTTCTTTTAGAGTTGAAGATCTGTGAGTAATATCAGTGACCCTCTTAGCTTAGCAGAGAACAAGCTTCTTTTTTTAGTACTAATTATATTGACCGATTTGGGAAAAAACCTTAACTATAAGGCCTTTTGTTTTTCCTCATGCTGAGTTCTCACTCCGTTTAAAAAAAAAGTGTTTGTCACCTCACAGAATAAGAAGATCGTAGGTAACTTATCCTTACACAGAACACGTTTTAAGGGCAGTTTTAACTTGATTTATTTAGAAGTGTTAAGCATGAGGCAGGCTTTGAAATGCTCCAGTTTGAGGAATATGCAGTATCTTTTAAGTTTGTAAAAGCTGTGGTCACACTCCAAAGTATAACGTTTGGATTATAAGACCACTCTTTTTTTTTTTTCCTTTTTTTCTTTCAGCCATGCTGGAATTGTGGGATATTGCTTGTAGTACTATTTGAACCTTTTTTCCACTTACATTTTATTTATAATGTATGCATTGAAAGGAAAACTTTTTTTTTAGTTGAAGTTAATAATGTGGACTACTGCATATAGATGACATTTTTACAGTGTACCATACAGTTAAGATGCTGACAGAAAGATGTGCTTTTCACTGTTTTCTTCCTAACAGAAACTGTAGATAATGTCGCACTCCTCTTGTTTGATGCGGGGAAAAAAGATGATATTCATTGTGAAATGATTTTGCTCTTAATGTATCTTTATTATCTGTTATTCCAGGATGTATATTACCTTCTTTCAAGTAAAAGTTAAGTGCTTTGCATTAAACCACAGCTGTGTCGTCATTTAAATGAAAAGTATGGTGTCTGAGTGAACTTTAATCTGAAATATTTTTTGTCGACTGGCGACAGTTGGCATCAGAGACAATCTTACAGTTGGTGTAATTACAGAATTAAACAGTCACTTAATGAAGCATCCACTGTTTATAGAGGAATGCCTTAATGATGCCACTCCAGCAAATTTTTCCGTTCCGAGTTCTATTTATGGTTTCAGGCGGCTTCAGCTGCTAAATTCTCAACAGAAAGTTTTGGTGAATTTTTGTAAATATCTAGATAGTGGTCTGATCTTAAGGCAAGGGGCAATTATAAACATAGTTTGACTAGAAAAGAACTAAAACAGGTGTTTAATTAAAGAAAAATAAAGTATGGGAGCCTATTAAATTTTTAAGCTGTTTACTTGCTGTACATGTCAGTACATCAGTGCTCCAGATAAATAGTAAATATGAAATGAGAATGGTGCTTAAGTATTTTTATACTGTCATACGACTAAATCTGAGAAACAAATTAATGTAACCAACAGGCGAGAAAATGCTTTTGCCTTTTCAGCTTTTATTCTAATAATTAACGTGGTTGGATGATGTGCAAAAATAATAATTTTGTTCTTTTGAAATCACAATGACAGTGTCTGTACATAGTTTATATTTGGACTCCAATGCTACAACAAATAAAACTGGGTTAAATGTCAAATCACATGTTATGATGATATAATTGAAAAACGTTTTTTTTTTAACAGAAAAAAACATTCCTGTAGTTATTACCCTGTTCTCTTTTTTTTTAAGACTGAATTTATGCTCTATGCGCAAGAAACAAAATGGTGTGGAAATATAATAGAGCCACTTTATACAGACATAGATATGCTAAATCACATTTAAAAAAGAAAAAAACTAACATCTAATTACGTCTGTTCTGGTTGAAGTGATGACAGATGTTTTCAGGGAGAATAAATTGTTCGAGGTGTCCTTCGGTCCTAATGATCTAGTCAAACAGGATCTTGTTTCGTCACAGGAGTTTCATAAAAATGTTCTCCACCCTTCTGATGGATTATCTCAACACTCCTTGTCATTAAAGTACCAAAGCTCCACGTATGTCCAGAAACATGATCAACTACTGTAAGGAAGTATCTGACATTATTACTTGTTTCTGCGTTTGTTTAAAAAAATAAAAATTACATCCACAAAAAAAGGTTATTGCACAAAACTAAAATCAAATACAATCAAAGGTTTAAGCAAAGCTACCTCAAGTCTTATTACAACTAAACGTTTTGTTCTTTTTTTTCTGTAAAAGTCATACTGTAATAAATATATTGTAATACCTAAGAAAAAGAAATGCAGCAAGGAAAATCTGTAAAAAAAAATTGTAATCCATTCCAGCTGAGATTTTTTTTAAAAAATCCCCCTATTAGTCCCAAAGCCAGGGTCTTGCCCTTCCAGCTGTCCTCAGACCTCGTGTCTCTGCTGGACCCCTGGCAGCTTCACATCACGTCAGCATCAAATGCTTCTCCTCTTCTCGCTTCTTCAGCAGATTTGAAATCATGAAGGAGGAGAAGAAGCAGAACTCCACGGCGTAGCTGAGCTCGAACAGCTCCATGTTGACCGTCAGCATCCACTCGAACACAGCGGACAGGTGGTTGTAGAAGTAGTTGTCCTGGACGAACAGAACGGTGTCTGAGGGTCACCGAGTTAGGGATGTCACATCAGAGGATTGCATTCAGAGCAGGTTTTGAGCTTTTTTTACCTCACAAACACACTGAACTGTTAACCTAAAGGGTATTTTTGAAATAAATGTGTGAAACAAGTTCCCTGAAGATGAATCGGGTTAAATTCTAGCTGTATTTCCCAGCTTCAAGCTGCTGTTATGGTCAATCCCACTTGGTAAACAGAGCTACAAGCTGGATCCAAATATTGAAACAGCTGGCGAGTTTCTAACTCTGTCTCAGCTAAACTTCACTCCTGGTATATCTTGTCTCATGTTTACACTGATCATTATAAATTCAGCACCTTCAAAAAAATCTAAAGTTTTCATGCCTCCTGAACATTTTGTTCCATTACAAACTAAAGTGTTTTCAACAGCCTGCGTGTGATGAACCAACAGAATGGTATACAGTAATTCTGAACTGTGAGGTTTTCAAAACTTTTTACAAATGTAGTCCCTTTCCTTCTGATTAAAATCCAGTGCAACCATCTTCAGAAGTCAACAAAGGCAGTGTTCCTGCAGATAAAAAGCGTTAAAAGGCATTGAATTCATCAAAAATAAGGCCTTAATTAGCCTTAAAATGTCTTAAATCAATCTTTGAGGTCTTAAAAAACACATTGTAGCTAAATAGGATTATTGAAATTCATGTCAAATTTTAAAATAATTTTAACATTTATTTAGTTTTTTTAAATAATTTACTGAATGCATCCCATTCAGTAAATTATTTTGTTAAAGTTAACATTTTGTTTTGTTTAAGTAAACATTTGGGTAAAATTTCGGCTAAGTTTTTTTGAGGGTTTTGTCCTGATGCATCTCATCTCATCTTAATCTATTTTTTTTGTATCGTTTTTTGTGAATTTGATCTTAAAATAAATTTCAAGTGGCGTTAAAGAGGTCTTAAAAAGTCTTAAACTTAACTTGTTTTAAGCTGTAGGAACCCTGCAAGGGTCAGATTTGTTAGAAAAGTCCAATCAGAGCCCAGGCCTAAATTCAATGCTTGAATTTGCTGTTTACAGACTCAACATCCAGTCTGAGCTTCAGCTCTTTTGTGTAAAAGAAGGAGCAAAAATTTCAGAGCAGATGTGAAAAGCTGGCAGACACAAACCCAAAAACACTTTCCGTCAAAGATAGTTCTACAAAATGTTAAATCATGTCACAATAATGCATCACTTTGTGTTGGTCCATCACATAAAACCACAGTAAACTGCTTTGAGGTTTGTTTTTTGATTGGCCCTGTAGCTCTAGATTAAACAATCTGAAGGCTGTATTAGCGCCCTGTTTTAAAAGGATACAGCAGGTTGTCAGGATTGACTGAGTCACCGTGGACGTGAGGCGCAGAGGGTAGAGAAACCTCTCATATCCTGTCAGGACACACTTGGCTGTCAGGGCCGTGAGCAGGGCAGCGTAGAGGCAAACGCACAGGAAGCTGACGGCAGCCCCAAAGAAGTGCAGCAGTGTCAGGTAACCAGGCTGTGGAGAACAGGTGAAATGTGGTCGGACACAACGTTGAAATCAGGACAGAACTTTTAAAATAACAATTGTTAGAAGCTGAATGTTGTCAGAGCTGAGGAACTGTTGGAAGAATTCAAAAAGAATAAAAAAACATAATTTCTGTTCAAAATGTGCAGCTCAGGAAGCGTGCTGCTATTCAAAACAAAAATGGAATTTTGTTCTTAAATTGTAAATTCTCATCTTCAATCAAAGACCTTGAAGTTACTCAAGTTTCTTTTCTCTCTTTTTTGTAAGATATAAATTGATATTAAAATGAAATGAAAATACAATAAAATTGTCTTTTTATGACAAAATTATTTTTTACAGGACAATAAAAGTAAAAGTGTTAGAACAGGGGTGTCAAGTTCTTTCACTGAGGATATGAGCATTATGGTGGTCCTCAAAGGGCCAGTTTTAATTAACTTTGATGTTTCGTGTTTAGCCTCATTTGGAACGACTGAGTGCTCTAACAAACAATAACTGAGCTCTACTTGGTATTTCTTACATAGAAACAGGGTTTTAACATGCCCCCTTATAAATATTGAAAAATACTATATAAGATTGACTAAATGTGAAATAAACAATAGAAAAATACTTGTAAAAGTTAAGGTAGCAAATTGTACTCAATGTTGACTTGTGATGAGTGCTATTTTAAATTCAGATTTTTCTCACTTTCTAACTGGGAAGTCCCACTGAAGAGGCATTCCAGTTTAAACGTACAACTTGTAAGTGGGAAATTCCCACTTCCCAGTAAAAAGAGCTGGTAAAAATCTGTTGAAACTGAGATTTTACACAGAATTTTCCTGGTCACTTTTAGACCCTGAGCACCTCCACCTGGTGGTGGTAACCTGTCATTTCTTGGGTGAAATAACCAACATGCATTATGGGAGATAGCAACATACATTTATTTTAAGACAATACATATTTGAAGCACATAAAATGCCATGGAGGACCACATTTGGCCCGCGGGCCTTGAGTTTGTCAGGTTTTAGATGATAAATGTCTTTGATCACATTGTCCTGATGCATCTCAGTAATCCAGGTAAAAAATCAAAAGGAAAAAAAATTGTATAGGTCTTCTGGACGGGTTCTTCTCTAATGAAACGTTTCGTCTCTCCTCCAAGAGACTTCTTCAGTCTGAGAGTTTCAGGCAAAATTCAGGCTTTTAAGCCCTGCCTCCAGGTGACTGATACTCACATCACATGGCTATCGTTCACACCTAATTAACACCTATTGTTAACAGGGGTTGAGGGATACTGGCAATAGCAGCACTGTAGGAGGGGGACAACTGAAAACGGAGGCCTCCACCTCTGTTTAATGATGGACGGTCTTTCTTCACAAAAATGGCTTCTTTTACTCCTCTCTCAAACCAACGTTCCTCTCTATCAAGAATGAGAACATCCTCATCTCTGAAAGAGTGACCGCTGGCCTGTAAATGAGTGAAAACTGCAGAGTTCTGGCCATTAGATGTAGCTCGTCTGTGTTGGGACATTCTTTTGAACAGTGGCTGCTTTGTTTCCCAGATGTATAACTGGTCGCAGTCCTCCTGGCACTTAACAGCATATACAACATTGCTCTGTTTGTGCCGGGGCACCGGATCTTTGGGGTGAACCAGCCTTTGCCGTAATGTGTTTTGGGGTTTGAAAGCCACTGGGACATCATGTTTAGAAAATAAACGTCTCAGTTTCTCCGAAACACCCGCAACAAACCCAGACCCAAACCAGTGGTTATTCCGTATGTTGCGGGTGTTTCGGAGAAACAGAGACGTTTATTTTCTAAACATGATGTCCCAGTAGCTTTCAAACCCCAAAACACATTACGGCAAAGGCTGGTTCACCCCCAAAGATCCGGTGCCCCGGCACAAACAGAGCAATGTTGTATATGCTGTTAAGTGCCAGGAGGACTGTGACCAGTTATACATCTGGGAAACAAAGCAACCACTGTTCAAAAGAATGTCCCAACACAGACGAGCTACATCTAATGGCCAGAACTCTGCAGTTTTCACTTATTTACAGGCCAGCGGTCACCCTTTCAGAGATGAGGATGTTCTCATTCTTGATAGAGAGGAACGTTGGTTTGAGAGAGGAGTAAAAGAAGTCATTTTTGTGAAGAAAGACCGTCCATTATGAAACAGAGGTGGAGGCCTCCGTTTTCAGTTGTCCCCCTCCTACAGCGCTGCCATTGGCAGTATCACTCCAACCTCTGTTAACAATAGATGTTAATTAGGTGTGAACGATAGCCATGTGATGTGAGTATCAGTCACCTGGAGGCAGGACTCAAAAGCCTGAATTTTGCCTGAAACTCTCAGACTGAAGAAGTCTCTTGGAGAAGAGATGAAACATTTCATTAGAGAAGAACCCGTCCAGAGGACCTATACAGTTTTTTTCCTTTTGATCACATTGTTTTGATGCCATTACATGGTTTCCTGCACTTCTAGTTAACCCATCAGAAATCATGTTGTTGGAATCAAAACACAAATTAATATTCAAGAAAAAAGTGAGACTTCTGTTCGATGTTACAAATTGTACAAGAAATACGAGAACTCCTCTGCTGTGAATCAACAAAATAAAACAAATAATGGCCCACCTTTGTTTGCCATTAAATGAGAACTTACTCCTTTATTTCACACCTTTATTTTTCTCACAGTTTAAAGTTTAAACACATACAAATGTTTAAACATTCCAGCAATTCTTCTTAACCTGAGACCTTTTATCAGCAAGAAAATAAATAAAACGCAGGACTCACGTTGCAGTTTCCTGCTGCGAACGCCCCGAAGGCTGACACCACCCCAAAGACGAGAGCAAATTTGCTCAGCATGGCCTGACAAACGTTCTTCTCCAGAATGTGAGCGTGGTGGAATACGCAGAACAGCAGAACTAAAACAGAGGAGACCAACGGTTAATCATCAGAGTTTGTGTTAGACATCAACCCTCCTGCTGCCCTGGGTTCAAAACCACCCTCAAGGCCACCGGCTTCAGAGAGTGAAGTCATTTTGAGGTGAACTCACTCACAAAGAAAGGTTGCAGCGTTGATTGTGGCCGTAAAAAGGGAGCTTTCTGGAGCATACATCCCACTAGAACTGGAATCACAGAATTTATTTATAATTATAAATATGTGTGCTATTCTTTAGTGAGAAAATGAATTTCAAATTAGAGACTTACCTTATTGTAGGAACAAAACAACAGTCCTCTGTGTTATTCCCCCTGCAGTAATTGGCGCCGCTCCTGAGAACAAACAGTAAAGAAGTTTTTAATTGTTTATATGTGTGAAAATAAAAGATTAAAACCAAGGAGACACAACTCACCAGTCAGTGAGCGGGCACACATGTTTGTAGGTGAAGGCAAGGCCATATCTAGAAATATAAAACAGAGGGAACTTTTTACTTTTTTCTTAAAATATACCATTTCATTTACTTTTTTTCCAGACAGTTTAGGTTAATGACAAACCAATATACATAGCAGCAATAAGGAACAAAAACAAAACTGTGTCAAAAATTATCCTCACTAACATTTTTACCCCCTGAAGCTAACATGACACGATGGAAAGTTTGACACAAATTGACTTTAAAACGTGCATAAGAACTGAGTGTCTGGTATTTCTTGCCAATCCACTGAGCACACCCTAAAATAGACAAAATAAACTAGATAGACCACATATTTCAAGACTTAGCTGTTTTATTATGTAACATCTGAACCTGTTTCCTTTGAAATCCTCTTAAGGTGTGGACATATTTTAATGTAACATCAAAACTAAAATATGTCAAGTTGAATAAATTTATCTGTGTGTTCAAAATGTCCCAACGCAAGATGATACGGTTTATAATCATCCTGATAATAATGAGTAGTCCCAACACACTGCTTTATCAGTGTAGTGTGTGCTTTTGTTCAAGACGTCAAGGCAAAACCCAAAAAAGGAAAAAATGGAAATAAAATAAAATGAAATAAGACAAGAATTCCAACACATGTCAAGGCAGAATAAAATGTAATTTCACCAGGAAAGACACAACAACAAAAAGTTGTAAACTCACATAGTCCACGTTCCAAGGAAGGACACCAGGGATAAAGTAACGGGTAAAAGAATCCAGAACATCATGTCTCTGTGGAGAAAACAATAAAAATTGGACAGAAATCTCTTATGTCCAGACGTCTTCAGCAGCAGCAGATCTTCCTACAGGTTTATAAATCCTTTTATGAAGTCAAAGCATCCAATCCTCAAAGCTCAGTACTTGAGTCATAAGTAAATTCCTTCGTCTTTGGGATGAAAATATGTTTGTTTTGTGTAATCAAGCTGTTACTCTGCTGTAACTGAATTAATTCTTCACCTTGAGATCAGACCTGCTTTAACAAGGAGTCCTGTCTGTTTGTCTGCCACTCCCCTACCACTCTTACATGGGGCTGGCTTTTCTGCCTTAACAACATTGTTTGTTTTAACTGGACTTCCTTATGCCTCACCTTAGGGCGGTTTAGTTGTATTAATAACCAGGAGACCAGCACAGTTATACTGAAATCATAATTATGTAGAAACATTTAGAGCTTAAAATTCTGTAAGGTGTGTTTTAATTTCTTTAATTTGTGCTTTTCTCTGTTACTCGGTTACAGAAACTTTTAATAATAGAACGTTTATAACTTAAAGGTATAGAAAGTAACTTAATTCACATAAGTGGAAGCAGTTTTGGATGTCTTACACTTTAATATTTGTGGAGATTTATGTTTACTTTCTCAAATATCCTGTTAGAAAATGTTACTAAGGTGTTATAATGAAAATAAACTCTTTATGTCCGTAATAGCTTTTTTTTTAAAGATGTTCCCTGGTTATATAATAATATTTACTTATATTTACAAAAAATCTGTACCTTACAGAAGATAATTAAGAGAAATTATGTCATAATTACAAGAAAAGATCTCATAATCTCCTTGGGCTGCTACCTTATCGTGGTGGAGGGGTTTGAGTGTCCCAATGATCCTAGGAGCTATGCTGTCTGGGGCTTTATGCCCCTGGTAGGGTCA